CCTTCAGGTGTTGCCGGTGTGGCCAGGCGCGGCGGCATCAGCTGAGTTAGGGTTTAGGGTTTAGAATGGTTTAGGGTTTAGGGTTTAGGGTTTAGGGTTTAGGGTTTAGGGTTTAGGGTTCAGGGTTTAGGGTTGCCCAAAGCTCTATCGAAAGTCCTGCGCACCGCGCAGGTGCGAGCCTGAAAACCCTAAACCCTAAACCCTAAAACCCTAAACCCTAAACCCTAAACCCTAAATCCCAAAACCCTAAACCCTGAACCCTAAACCCTAAACCATACACCTTCAATTTCAAGCATGCGATGAGCGCAGCACAGGCGCCGGCCTAGAGCTCAGAGCTAAGATCGGTTGGGAATGTCGAGGCCTGAACAAGTTTAGGGTTTAGGGTTTAGGGTGGACTTCTGTAAAATTCTGAGCTCTTCCCTCTAGTGCTCTTGTAGCTTCCCCGATGCAAAAATCACGCTAGTAGCTGAAGCAGGGTGGTTGTGGCGGCTTGTAAACCTGAAACCCTGAACCCGAAACACCAAACCATCACGTTTCCCTGAGTTTAGGGTTTAGGGTTTAAGGTTTAGGGTTTGCGGTTTAAGTAGGGTTTAAGGTTTAGAGTTTAGGGCTTTTACCCTTGGCCACACCTCATCGGTACAAGCCATGCCATCAACGCTTGTCACTACCCATCTCAATCGCAGGCAATGCCCCAGAGGGCATTACTGCCCCACGGGTGTGTCGGCACCCGTTCCCTGTGTGCGGACGGAATTCTGTGGCCGGGCGCAGAGGTTTTGGGTTCACGTTCTGGCTTCAAGATTGCTCGATCTAAGAGTTTCAGGGCAGGGATTTGTTTAGGGTTTCGGGGTTTCGTAACTTTAAGAATTTTAGGGTTTGGGATTTTTTGAGGCTTAGGGTATACAGCTCCACATCTTGAGACGTCAGCTTCCCTTTCTTCGGCTCAGCTCTAGCTCCCACGAGCGCCCCGAAGCAACTAATGTAGGCTGCAGGGGTTTGGGTTTAGGGTTTA